AGTGTTGTGAGGATCAAACTACAGCAACCTGAGGCTGACAGCTTTGTGGAAGCAGGCACTTAAAGGACTGAGCTAAGGCCAGGGCCCCTCTCTTAAATCTTGAAATAGAATGGAATCCAGCACAATTCCTTGTGAGATTCTGCACAGTCTTTTCTTTGGACTGACCTGAAACTTATAAGCCAAGAAAAGCCCACTGTCCTCATAACCAAAATGAATAAAGCTAAACCTACATTTTTTCTAGATTTCTGAGGAAAATGTATCAAACAAAAAAAATATTTACAGAAATTAAATTATATCTGCAAACTCTGTTCTTTATTTGTCCCTTATGGACACTTTCTCTCAGAGTTAATATATTTACTTTTTTTTTTTTTTTTGTGGTACCAGGGATTGAACTCCGGACCTTGCACTTGCCAGACAGGCACTTATGCTGCTGAGCTGTATCCCTGGCCAAGTTAATGTATTTAAAAGACTGAGGGTCCTCTATGTGTGTTTGGGATGCTCAGGCCTCTCTTAATGGAGAGTTGGCTATAGGAAAGGATTACTGTATATAAAAGTAAGAGTGGCATAGGCCTGTAATCTGGGGGGTTGAGGCAGGAGGATTACTGGAAGTTTGAGGTCAGACTAGGCTACATAGTTCAAGGCCAGCCTGAGCTACATAGTGAGGTCTGGTCTCGGAAAAGAAAAAATAAATAAATAAATAAGAAAAGCAACCCTTCTATGGTGGACCGACTACCTCAGACCTTTTCTAGTCCTTTTTGTTTGTGTATCCTAGTGCTCACCTTCTGGTTTTCAGACATGGTGAATAGCTAGGGAGCTATTGGTGCATATCAGTATCTCTTGTTTTAAGAACTAATGACCTTCAAGCATGTGGCTGAGGACTGCAGGGAAGAGTGGGTTAGCTATACATTGCTCGGAGAATCCTTTTCAAGGATGCCATGCAACTCATTGGAAGAGTGGGCTTTCAGAGGGCAAGAGTGCTTTCCCTATTTATTTTGAGGCCAGGGAGATGGCTCAGTAGATTAAGTGCTTGCCTGGCAAGTGTAAGGGCCTAAATTCAGTCCCTTACACTGAAATTTGTTCCACCAAACAAACAAACAAAATGGATGTATTTTGAGACAAGGTATCCCTGTGTAGTTCAGGCTGGCCTCCAACTCATGTTGATTCTCCTTCCTCAGCCTCCAAAGCCCTGGGATTACAGGTGTGCACCACCCAGTGCTTTTCCTCTTTAGTTTGAAGACTTAAGATATCTTGAGAGTTCTTAGGTCTGCGGACATTGATTTTTTAGGGCTCCAGGCCTCTGTGAGATTAGTTGTTGCCTTCCAGACAGAAAGATTGTCTCCCGGGCTGGAGAGATGGCTCAGTGGTCTAAAGCACCCACTTAGAACAAGTTTAGCAAAGCATCAGGGACCGCAGTTCAATCCCCCAGCACCACATGCCAGCCAGCCCCGCCCCCTGGTGGGCTGAGCTGGCCACACACACACACCACACACAC